TAAAACTCTTGGACGTGTTTCACCTTGCTCTCTCCCGGAGGGAGGGGCACTTGCGGGAGTTTTAACATGAACCCTCTCCTGAGCCAAAACCATCAGGTTCACACTCGCTAGGGTATGGGAATTCCATTTGAGGAAGATCCCGGTATTTCCCCTTTTTACCTTGTTACTATCGTTCCTGCTTCTTCCACAGAGTCTGCGAGTTTCTAGGGAGAGACAGAGAGAGAGAGAAAGAAAGATGTCTGAGGTGACAAATCCCATTAATTGTTTATCTGTCTTTCTTTCACGTCGCAGCTCCGCATTTTTCCCTATTTGGATCAAGTACCCAGTTTCATCCTTTCGAACAAGGGTCTGGGCATCCTCAATATCTCGAAAGGGTGCTAGATCACTTACTCCCCTTATGCAGGTACAAGTCTGTTTTTTTTAGGACGAGCTGAAATTGAACTCCCACTCCCAGGATTTGAACCCACGACTCTCAACTCGGTGAGACTTTTGGGCCGATTTTTCCCCTTTCCGAATTCAACCTGACTACTTCGGGGCTCCCCAAGGCATTCAAACTAAAGATTTACCCTTAGCAGACGTCTAGTCACGTGGGAAATCCAACCCCATTTTGTTTATAGCAAAAGAAGGTAACTTTTTACAGAAAAATGTGTTTAATTAAAAACCGATTAACAAACGATACAAAAAATAAAAATTTTGTTTGTCGTAGAGTATTTGTAGTAAACTTTGTAGTAGTAGTAATAGTAGTAGTAGTAGTATTTGTAATATTTGCAGTATTACGTAGTAGCCTCTTTTGTAACAAACTATTCACGATATTTAAACAAATAAAACTAATTTTTTTTTTTTTGTTTATTAACGAAACAAAGCTACCTTAATAATTTAAATTATTATTATTATTTTAACGCCGCTCATTAAAATCAGATATTAATTAATTGGAAAGTTTTTTTTTTTTACGATTATTATTATTATTATTATTTTTTATTAAAGAAAACGGGGAAGTAATTAGTCAATGTAAAACAAACAACGTAAACAAACATTTTTGTTTTTTTTTTTTTTTTTAACGGCACGCGAAATTTATTTGTTTAAAAAAAAAAAGAAAGAAATTCTTTCAGTTAATGATGATTACGTAAGCATTCCTTAATTTTTTTTTTTTTTTGTTTATAATTTATGATTTTTTCCATAGACGACGATGGTAAGTAAGTAAACGATTTGTTTAAACAAAAAATTATTTAAATTTACCAAAAAAAGCAAAAAAGCAAAATTTTTACCTGGTACTTTATACGACATAGTCATTCATCGATAAAAATGTTTAAAAATTTGATTTTTATAAACAAAAACAAAAGCTCACACAATCTTTATTTGTTAATCAGACGTAAAAATACTTATTGGGACTCGATCTTATCATTTTCTTTTTCAAATCGATTAATTAGGTAATTAATTTTAATTAATTAAAGATAAACTCACCGGTAATTTAATATCCTTTGTTCTCCTCCTAAAATCCAATCCGATAGAACTAACATGTAAATCAACGTATACACTACTTCCCGTCCTGTAATGTATTGAGATTGCATATACAAATTTTTGTCTTTATTAAGTTTAACTTATATGGAAATGAATGAATGTGGCTATGAATGAATGAATGAATGAATGAATGCGGGTATGAATGAATGTATGAATCACTCAATCAATCAAACAATAATAACGGTAAAGTTTTATACATAGATAATGAAATATAAGATTTAATATGACATTACCACAAACTTGTACATCTTTTAAAAATTTTTTCATTTTTTTTTATTTATTTAAACTATATTTTCATACTATTATTATTATTTTATTTTTCAATCATTTTTAAAACAGTTTCAAATAATATTTTTAAGAAATATGTATAATAACTGCAGTAATTATTGAAAAAAGAAATTTTTTAGGGGAAAAAAACCGTTAATGAATGATTTTGATTGTTTGAGTTGATGAAATTTTTAAAATTATTATTACTATTGAACATTTTTAACGTTCATATTGTTTTTATTGTTTTGCACAAAATGTTTAAGTAATTGATAATTTTATTCCATAACTTACACACCAGCACACACAAAAAAGATAAAAAAATATTCAATGTTAAATAATGTATTAGCGCCATTTTGTCCGCCATTTTAAAAACTGTCTATCGTCAGAGATAATTTTAAAACTTTATATAAACTGCAAATCGAATAACTGATAATTTCGTTTTCGAATTATGAGATAAATATCATTTTCTCATTCTTTTCTTTTCTTTTTTTTTTTTCATTTATTACAGTTAATTTGCAAGTTTATGCAAAAAAAAAAAAAAAAGAAAAGAAAACGTTTGCCATTATAATTGTCTGATTCATAAAGTTTACATATATAATAATAATACTTACTAAGTAAAATTGATTTCATTCGCAATAACCGTTTTATCGTCTGGACGAATTTAATTTATAGGCTTACAAAAAAAAAAAAAGAAATAAAACAGGTTTGTTTTGTGGTGAAGTATTTTTTTTTTTTTTTCCTGCGAATCGACCACACATTCATAAGTATTTTTAAAACAGTGACGTGAATTTATCGTACAATGTTGTGAAATTAGCATTACTCACTTACATGTAACAGAAATTTATTTTCTGCCTATGATAACTCATATAAAATAAAGCAGTGCCATCTGTGATGCAAAACTACAAACTCAAAAAAGCCTTCATATTGAACCGGAAATAGTCGTTAAATAACTTTATGAATTTTATTCACGGATTCATTCGGTATCGTACATTATTTGTTTAATAAAGTTTATTTTAACGACACGTTTTATTTGCATGGGAAATTTTTTTCGCGATTAATATTATTATTTTGATATTGTATTAAAAAATTTTTTTTCGTTATAAGACGTTTAATTTGTGAACCCTCTGCGTTTCTAAAAGCAGCCATTTTTCATTACCAAATCAAGGATTTTTCCTAGTGATTTTATTTCCTTTATTAAATATCTAGTTTATATAAAAATTAATATCTAAAATGGCGTTAAAAAGAATTAACAAGGTAGGAAAACTTTATTCCTTTTTTTATTTTTATTAATACATATATTTATTAATTAAACAAATAACGGGGTGACGCCCCTACGAGTTTAGTTAAATGTGATTAACTTGGAGGGGGGTAGGGGGAAAAAAAAAAAAAAAAAAAAAAAAATTGAATATTTTAATTGAACGAAATGCTCTTTATATATCCTGGTAGAAAAATTTTCTATATTTATTCTCGATTTAAAAATCTATATAAATATAATCTTCGTATTGGAATTTATTGAAATGTAATATATATATATATATATTTTTTCAGTGGTAAAATATTGCGATTGGCATTACATAAAATTGTCAGTAAAAAATTTTTGAATATGTTGTTTTAACGTGACTATCATTAAATTTATTATAAATGTAATATATAATAAACATATAATTATAAAAGTTTCAAGTTTTTGTCCTTTTTTCAACTATTGTTTTTCTTAAAATTAATTTTAATTAGGTTATACGTGGAATATTTTGTTAGTTGCCGAATAAGTAATCGAATTTCCCCCCCCCCCCCCCGATGATTCATATTAAGGGTTAAAATTTTTTTAAAATCACATGTAAAATAAATTTATAAAAAAAGTAAAATTTTTTTTTTGCTTAGGTAAAAATGCAACTTGTGTAATTGTTCACATTGTTGTAACATGGCAAATGCTTTTCTTTGTCACAAGTCTTTGTATAATATTGCAAAACATATTTTAAAATTTCAAATGAATTTTTTTTTATATAAATAAATCAATTTCGAATGCAATCAAATTCAAATATTTAAATAATGAATTATCAGATGGAAAAAAAAAAACTTTTCATTTAAAATCAATTTTATATATATATATATAACATTTCTCTTTTAAATTAAACCTTGATTTATTATTAAACTTATTGCCTAATGGTTATATTCGACCTTAAAGTAAAGAAAATATTTTATTTAACTAAACTTTTCGATGAATTCAAAGAATTTTTACTTGTC